TCGCTGCGCGGCTCGAATCGGGAGGACAGTGTGACCCTGATCGTCGCGGCGGTGTAGCGTGTTGTTATCCTAGGTGCACATTAATGGCTTGCGTCGCACGCGTCTGTCTCACAGTGTGATTCATTTTGCACTAGACCGTCTATAGTTTGTTTATATTTTTGCATCGAACCATCCAACTCCGGTCACCGGGTCTGAACGCGCTCAGCCTCAGGAGGTACCAAACCGCGCGAATTCTGCACGCCTCGCTGCACCGCTGGCTTGACTGAATCAGGCAGCAGCAGGCTGCTGCTGTTGCCACAGCAGCAGTCTGCTGCGGCCCCAATACGCAAGTTAATGACCAGCATTGCTGCCGGGGGCATTCGAGCCGCCACAGCCGGTGTGCGGCTGTGCACTGCCACCTGCCCGCGGCTACGCACATGTGCGCTCGCATTGGATGAGCCCTGCTGATGGAGACCTGCGTCGCCTAGCTGCACGAGAGCAATGCCGCAGGCGGCGGCCGTGGCATACACTGCGAGCACACTTGGTGCAGCTGCGAGATGCAGCAAGAGCACGTCGTTCCTGCCTCTGATGCCACTCTCGCGGCTTGTAGCGCGTCACTCGCGCATGCTCTCCAGGAGCTATGGCGGGCGCGTGTGTGGGGCTGTAGCCTGTGTTTGGCCGGTTCTGACCCGTTTACTATCAGTACCATGCCTGGGCCACAAGAATCGCACACGGGGAGCGCGGCTCAGGGACCCAGTAAGCCGCGGAATCGCCAAATGTCACAACCCGGCTCACCCCGCAGGGCTGGACCTAGTCACCCCGTAAAGATATTACTTTTTCTCTGGCCTGCCGCTAACCCTTCTCACCTGGGGAACACCCCCCGCCCCCGGGTCCGATCATAAAATACCACACAGAGTGTCGTGTCACGTCGTCAGAGACTCGAGCCCGCAAAGGTCGCCCCCGCCGGCGGCGCGGCGTCTGGCGGGACGGCCACAACCTCTGGGGGCGGCCGGCCGGCGAGGAACCCCTCGAGCCTCTTCCGCTTGGCGGCGAGCAGCTCGGGCTCTTCGTCGCCGCGCAAGATGTGCCGCTCCAGCAGCGCCTGCTCCGACGGCCGGTTGGCGAGCGACGCCGAGAGGCGCTCGACAGCGCGGAGCTGCGCCAGCTGGCGGTGCTGCGCCTGCAGCTCGGACGCGTCCTCCTCCGCCTCCTCGCGGTACGAGGCGCGGCGGCGCCGCAGCATCGCTGCGTACTCGGCCAGCGTGTGCCCGTGCTCGTCCACCTATTCACAGCCCTTGCTGTGAACAGCCTGGCCTTGGCCCTTGCCCTTGCCCCGAGCCTGGAAGCCTACTACTACTACTACTACTGCTGCTGCTGCTGCTGCTGCTGCTGCTTGCTGCTTGCTGCTGCTTGCTGCCTGCTGCTGCTTGCTGCTGCTGCTGCTGCTGCTGCTGCTGCTGCTGCTGCTGCTGCTGCTGCTGCTGCTGCTTGCTGCTTGCTGCTGCTTGCTGCCTGCTGCTGCTTGCTGCTGCTGCTGCTGCTGCTGCTGCTGCTGCTGCTGCTGCTGCTGCTGCTGCTGCTGCTGCTGCTGCTGCTGCTGCTGCTGCAGCTGCAGCTAGCTGCTCTGCACTGCTGCTACTACTGCTATACTACCGACTACTACGACCTCACCGTGTGAAAAACCGACGCGTGAGACGCGGCCGAGGCGCCGCCGCCGCCGCCGACGCCACCCGCGCCGCCGGCCGCGCCGGCCGCGCCGCCCGCCGCGGCGGCCTGCGCCCGCTCGAGGGAGGCCAGGAGGCGCTCGATCAGCTCGCCTTTTTGGGGCGTCCTCCGGCCGCCGCCGCCGCCGCCGCCGCCGCCGAGGATGCC